GCGCGTATAACTCCATTGAAGATACATGCCGTGGAGTTAATTCTGACATGCTCTGACCAACGAAGGACTTCAATCTTTAACAATTCAAGGATTTCAATGGGTGTTGGCGTAAAAAGGTGACCCTCCGAGGAAGCAAAAGTATTAAGGATAGTTCCGACTCAGCTCGTACGTCTTCCTTTAGGCTCAAGGAAGAAAAAAACATTAATGTGTACGCTGAGACAAAAAAAAATGTTTTGCAGAATAAGCTTTGGTATGTCAGATTTTACATACAGGCTCCCCAGTTGAGTCAGCTTGGAAAATACTCCTCCTGGAAGAGAGTCTAAGGCGTTTAAAGATAAATCCCTATGAAAAAATCAAATGACTTAACCGAGAGGAAAAGTAGAGCCTTACAATAATGAATATGTTATGATACGAAACAGACAAAAACAGCAATGCATTCTAGCTTAACAGAGACTAGGTACAGAGCTTTGCACAGCCTTACAAGTACAAAGATTATATCTAGTTCCAATGAAGTTAAAGATGGTAAAATAAATTTTTTTCACCAGGCAAAATGAACAAAAGGAAGGAAAAGAAAGGTTTGGCGCCAAGTCCACAGATTACTCCTTCTGTTTCCGCACAAGGCGGAGGCATTGTGAGTAATTTTGTCGTTTGTCTATAGGAGCCACTGTTATAAACAAATGGATCAGATGTCAATTCGTTCTCGAAAAATTTTATAACCTTGTTTAATACACGGTTTCTTACGTTTAGTTCTGAAGATTTGCTACCATCTCAGCTTAGAAATCTATTTGTATCGACAGAGGACAGGGCTTCTTCGACGTTGAGGTAATCCACCACGGAAAGTTTACACACCGAGCGTCTAAACCTGTGGATCGGCCTTTTTTCACACGCTTATTGGTCCATTTAGAGATTCTTTAATTTTTTCCTTTATTCTGGACTTTAATAGTATATCTTTCGCATCAAAGTACATAAAGATTACCGAAATCTCCCATTTTCTGGTCAATTTTACTTCAGGCACGATTTTAATAGGTTTGCAATCCTTTAATATTTGAAATGATTTCTTAGGCTAGGAAATCCTAGGCTGTATCAAATTTTACGTACAGATCCTGTAGCCCAGTCAGCTTGACGAATACTCCTTCCGGAAGGGAGCTCAGGTCGTTTGAAAATAAATACCTATAGAAATATTCAATAACTTAGTAAACGGGAAAAGTAAAGCTTTAAAATAATGGGCACTATTTCTTAAGCAACAGACAAAGACAGTAATGCATCCGAGCTTGTTATTGTTTGAAAGGTACTCTATGTCTAAAAAAATGCATCAGAAACTAAGTACTTCACAGTTTTGTACAAAAACGGATAATTCAATGTGTAGAACTATTATATTCCAGTGGAACTTAAAAGATGTCACAAAGAAATTTTATCCCGGAGTAAAATGACATGAATGGAAGGAAAAGAAAGGTTTGTCGAAAAGTCCACTAATTTCTCCGTCTGTTTCCTTCCAAGGCGGAGGCATTGTGGGAAGTTTTATCGTTTGTCTGTAAGAGCCACTATTATAAACAAATTGATCAGCTGTCAATTCACTCTCGGAAAACTTTAAAACTTGTCTGAAGATTTACTACCATCTCAGCTTAAAAAAGTATTGGTTTCGAAATGCGACAGGGATTTAAATGATTGACGTAATTCCACCGGACATTCTTCACAGCGAGCCTTGAACCCATACATTAGTTATTTTCATCCGCCAAGTGGTCAATTTAGGGATTTGTTTCCTTTTCATTTGTTCTGGACTTTGATAGTATATCTTTCGCATCAAAGTACATAAAGATTATATTACCCAAATCTCCTATTTTCTGATCAATCATACTTCAGCCACGATCTAAATAGGTTTACAATGCTTTGATAAATGAAAATAATTTCTTAGGCGGCAACACTTTGTCCCGTTGACATCTATTTGAGGAATTCACCTTTTATCGAAGAGGGAAGTAGTTATCTCTCATTTCTAATTTTAAGAGGAAGGTGACGAACGGGGAGATATGATAGTATTTAGGGGCATTTGGTTAACTCTCTAGACTCAGCAGCAGGCTTTCCAACATTCCCTCCCCCTTCCTTGCCTATAAACACTTGTCTTCTTTTTCACCTTTTCTCGTCTCGTGAGTCCAACTCAGATCACAATTCTGCCTTTGGCTTACAGAAAAGGAAAATACACCTGCACAGAAACTGTTTGTCGAAAGTACTAAGTTATATCAAATTTTACGTACAGCTTCTGTAGCCTAGTTAGCTTGGCGAATACTCCTTCCGGAAGAGAGCTTAGGGCGTTTGAAGATAAATCCCTATGAAAAGAATCAAATAACTTTACTAAGAGAAAATGGAAAGCTTTACAATAATGAGTATTTTGTGATGAGAAACAGACATAAACTGCAATGCATTCAAGCTTGTTACCGTTTGAGAGGTACTTAGCGTTTTAACTAAATGTAACAGAGACTAGTTACAGAGCTTTACACAGCCTTATAAGAAAACGGATAATTGAATATGTCCAAACATTATATCTAGTTCCAGTGAACTTAAACATGGTAACAGAAATTGTTTCATTAGGTAAAATGACGTGGAGGGAAGTAAAAGAATGGTTTGGTGTAAAGTCCACAGATTTCCTCGTCTGTTTCCGTCCAAGGCGGGAAGTATCGTGGGTAATAAATCGTTTGTCAATCAGAGCCACTGTTATAGGCAAATCGGTCAGATATCAATTCACTCCATGAAAAAATTTAAAACTTGTCCAACTCAGACTTTGTTAGGTTTTTTTCTCAAGATTTGCCACCATCTCAGCTAAGAATAGTATTGGTATCAATATAGGACAGGGGTTTCTATGACGCTGAGGTAATTTCACCAAACAGCCTTCACAGCGAGCCTTAAAACCCATAGATCACCTGTTTTCATGGGAAAAGCGGTCCATTTAGGAATTTGTTTCCTTTTATCTTTATTCTGTACCTTGATAACATATCTTTCGCATCAAATTACATGGTAAATACCCTAATATCAGATTGTCTCACACCGTGATTTCGGACGCGACCGTGATAAGTTTATTATGCTACAACAATTGAAATTAATCTTTTAGGCAGCAACACTTGCTATATCTTTGAAGGATTCACTTTGTAGCGGGAGGAGGTATTAGTTTTTTCTCATTTTTCATTAGAAGTGAAAAATGATGAACGGGGAGAGATTGAAGCATGTAGGAACGTTTGGTAAACCCCTAAACTCAGCAGCAGGCTTTCCTAACCTTTCCTCCCCCTTTTCCTGGTTATGAATACTTATGTACCCTTTCGCCTTTGTTCGTCGCGAGTCCACCTTTGCTCACACTTTTCTCTTTACTTAAAAATGAAGGAAAAGACGCCTGCATACGCTAACACAGAAACTGTTTTTTGGAAATACTAGGCTCTGTCAAATTTTACGTACAGCCAGGACAGCCCACTCAGCTTGGCGAATACTCCTTCCGGAAGAGACCTTAGGGCGTTTGAAGATAAATCCCTATGGAAATAACAAATTATTTAGTCAACAGGTCACAATAATGTGTATTTTTTTATAAACAACAGACAAAGACAGTATTGCATTCGAGCTTGTTATTGTTTGAAAGGTACTCAATGTCTAAAAGAAATGTATCAAAAACTATGTATTTTACAGTTTTGTATAAAAACAGGTAATTAAATGTGTAGAACTATTATATCTTGTCACAAAGAAATTGTATCCCGAAGTAAATAGACATGAAGGGAAGGAAAAGAAAGGTTTGTCGAAATTCCACAGATTTCTCCGTCTGTTTCCTTCCAAGGCGGAGGCATTGTGGGTAGTTTTATCGTTTGTCTATTAAGAGCCACTATTATAAACAAATTGATCAGCAGTCAATTCACTCTCGGAAAACTTTAAAACTTGTCCAAAAGACTTTGTCATGTTTTTTTCTGAATATTTGCTACCATATCAGTATAGAATAGTATTGGTATCAACATAGGACAGGGATTTAAATGAAGCCGAGGTAATTCGAACGGACAATCTTCACAGCGAGCCTTGAAACCCATAGATCAGATATGTTCATCCACCAAGTGGTCAATTTAGGGATTAGTTTCCTTTTATCTTTATTCTGTACCTTGATAAAATATCTTTCGCATAGAACTACATGGTAAATACCCTAGTCCCAGATTATCTGATTTCGGATGCGATCGTAATAAGTTTATTATGCTATGACAATTGAAATTAATCTTTAGGCAGCAATACTTTGTCCCGTTGATTTCTCACTAAGGGATTAACTTTGTACCAGAAGGAGGTATTATTTATTTCTCATTCCTTGTTTGAAGTGATAATTGACAAACGAGGACAGATTAAAGCATGTAGAAGCGTTTGGTAAACTCCCTAGACTCAGCAGCAGGCTCTCCACCTTCCCTACCCTTTTCCTGGCCATGAACACTTAAGTTCTCTTTCACCTTTTGTCGTCGCGAGTCCACCTTTTCTCACACTTCTCTCCTTTGGCTTAATTATGAGGGAAAAACGCCTACGCACCCTGACACAGAAACTGTTTCTTGTAAATACTAAGTTATGTCAAATTTTACGTACAGCCAATGCAGCTCAGCGTGCTTAGCAAATACTCCTTCGGGAAGAGAGGTTAGGGCGTTTGAAGATATATTTCTATAAAAATAACAAATAACTTAGCTTAAAGGAAAAGTAAAGCTTTTTACCGGTACGGAGTAGTATTTATTTCCCATTTCTACTTTATGCGAGAGGTGACGAGCAGGGAGTAATCATTCATTGAAGGGCATTTGGTAAACTCTCTAGACAGCAGCAGGCTTTCCAACATTCCCTCCCCATTTCCCTGCCCATTAATGCTTTTTTTCTCTTTCACCTTTTTTCTCCTCGTGAGTCCACCTCGGTTCACACTTCTCCAGTTGGCTTATAGAAAAAAGGAAATGCACCTGCATACGCTGACACAGAAACTGTTTGTCGGAAATACTAAGTTATCAAATTTTACGTACAGCCTCCACAGCCCAATCAGCTTGGCGAATACTACTTCCGGAAGAGAGCTTAGGGCGTTTGACGATAAGTACCTATAGAAATAACAGATAAGTTAGCTAAGAGGAAAAGCACAGCATCTTACTGGTTCAAAGAAGTATTTATTTCCCATTTATGTTTCAAGCGAGAGGTGACGAGCAGGGGAGTAATTATTCATTTAGGGGCGTGTGGTAAACTCTCTAGACCCAGCAGCAGGCTTTCCAACATTCCCTCCCCTTTCTTGGCTATATATACTTTTCTTCTCTTTCTCGTCCCGTGATTCCAACTCAGTTCAAACTTCTTCCTTCGGTTTATAGAAAAAGAAGGAAAAAAATTGTGTACGCTGGTACAGAAACTGTTTGTTGGAAATACTAAGTTGTATCAAATTTTACGCACAGAAACCGCAGCTTGGTCAGCTTGGCGAATACTTCTTCCGGAAGAGAGCTTAGGGCGTTGGAGGATAAATCCCTATAGAAATAAAAAATAACTTGCCTAAGAGTAAAATTAAAGCTTTTTACCGGTAAGGGGTAGTATTTATTTCCCATTTATGTTTTTAGCGAGAGGTAACAAGCGAGGAGTAATTATTCATGTAGGGGTATTTGTTAATCTCTCTCCCCTTTCCCTGCCTATAAATTTCACCTTTTCACGTCTTGTGAGTCCACCTCAGTTCACACTTCTTCCTTCGGCTTATAGAGAAAGGAAAATACGCCTGCATACGCTAACACAGAAACTGTTTGTTGGAAATACTAAGTTATATCAAATTTTACGTACAGCTCCCACAGCGCAATCAGCTTGGCGAATATTCTTTCCGGAAGAGAGCTTAGGGCGTTTGAAGATAAATCCCTATAAAAAGATCAAATAACTTAACTTAGAGGAAAAGTAAAGCTTTACAATATTAAGTATTTTGTAATCCGAAACAGAAGAAAACAACAATGCATTCAAGTTAATAACCTTTTAAAAGGTAATTAATTTATTATAAAAATGTATCAGAGACTAGGTACAGAGCTTTTCGCAGTTTTATAAGGAAACAGGTTATAAACGTGTACAATTCTCATGTCTTCATCCAATAAATTAAAAAATGTTACCAAGAAATTGTTCCCCGAAGTAAAATGCACATTAAGGGGAGGAAAAGAAAGGTTTGACGCAAAGTTCACAGATTACTCCTTCTGTTTCCGTGCAAGACGGGAGTCAATGTGGGTAGTTAATCGTTTTTCTTTAAGAGCCACTGTTAAAAACAATTCCACCGGAAAGTTTTAACAACGAGCCGTAAAACCCATAGGTCGGCTATTTTCACTCGTGAAGCAGTCCACTTGAAGATTCGTTTCCATTTTCCTTCATTATGAACTTTTATAACATATCCTAAGCATCAAAGTACATGGTAAATATCCAAATCTCAGATTTTCTGACACTGTAAATTTGGATGCCATCGTGATAAGTTTATTATACTATGACAATTGATATTCATCTTTTACAGAGCAACACTTTGTCCCGTTGATATTTCTTTGAAGGATTCACTTTGTACCGGAAAGAGGTATTGGTTATTTCTCATTTCTCATTTTGAAGTAACAAATGACAAACGGAGAGAGATTAAAGCATGTAGGAGTATTTGGTAAACTCCCTAGACTAAGCAACGGACTTTCCTAACCTTTCCTCCCCCTTTCCTAGCTATGAATACTAATGTTCTCTTTCGCCTTTAGTAGTTGCGAGTCCATCTTTGCTCAAACTTTTCTCTTTTACTTAAAAATGAAGGAAAAGACGCCTGCGTACGCTGACACAGAAACTGTTTTTTGGAAGTACTAGACTTTATCAGATTTTACGTACAGCTGCCACAGCCGAGTCAGCTTGGCGAATAGTCCTTCCGGAAGGAGCTTAGAGCGTTTGAATAAAAATCTCGATTGAAATATCAAATTACTTAGTCAAGAAGAAAAGTAAAGCTTTACAATAATGAGTACTTTGTGACAAAAA